GAAGATTCATAGACTCGAATCGTCACATACAGCCCATCACCTACAAGGGCCCTGGTAAGAAAACCAGTGAGATGGCCGTCCGAAAACATGTCACTGAAGTACCAACAACTGCCTAATCCTCTTTAGAGTAGTAGTACCTACTTCTTGGTACACCGATATCAACTACATCTTCTGAAGCAATTATGTTGCATGTGCAAATCTAAACATGAAGAGAGACCACGCTTCAGTGGCGCTTGCAACCACCGGCACAAGATGGAGCACTGAAAGTGAGTTTGCGTTGAATCTAGTGTCAGTACCACGAGTTCGTCTGTTTCTCTTCAATAATAGTAATTCTTGATACAGTACTGTACGAACTACTATGCAGCTGGGGAACTCACCGGAATGATGGCCTGCAGACTCATATGAAAGCTGCATGTCTCCGAGATTCGTATGTATGGTGGATTCTAGGTAGCAACATCAGAAACAAGCTATGGTTGTAAACTCACTCTGATTCCCGTGTCTGCAGATTCATTCAACATGTACCCAGAATGAAAGGGGAGGCTCAATGCTGCTGGGCTGGACCGCTGGCCTTAGCAGTGACCGCCCTCTCAACGTGAGTATGGCAGTGACAGTGCTAATCTTACAAGCTGTGGCGGAAAGCCAGTGGCATGCCAGGTGCCACCAGCTACAAGATACTGTCAGACTCGAGAATTCAACGGCATGGTGGGCAGACAACTTGCACGACTGTTTCAACTACACTAGAAAAGGCAATTTGACCAGGATAAGGTGTCGTACCAAGAAGTTAGGCTTGTTCTTTCTTTAAGTAAAACGTCCCAAATCTTGGTACACCCGCCATCAATCACAATAAATTTTTGTGCATACTGACATAACCAGGGGTATGGTTGGGCTTCAGATTCTCAGATTTACCAAAGGTATGCGTATTCTTTCTTAAAGTAGAGATTCTCAAATCTTGGTACACGTGCCATCAATTGCAATATTCCTCAGATAATCAGTGGTATGGTCGGTTCAAGATTCAGTTTCTAGTGGTATGGTCGGGCCAATCGTCAGTTTCAATTTCAGAGGAGTATCAAGGTCAGGCTTGTTCTTTCTTAAAGTAAAACGTCGCAAATCTTGGTACACCCGCCATCAATCACAATAAATGTCTGTGCATACTGACATAACCAGGGGTATGGTTGGGCTTCAGGTTCTCAGATGTACCAAAGGTACATCGTATTCTTTCTTAAAGTAGAGATTCTCAAATCTTGGTACACGTGCCATCAATTGCAATATTCAACTCAGATAATCAGTGGTATGGTCGGTTCAAGGTTCAGTTTCTAGTGGTATGGTCGGGCCAATCGTCAGTTTCAATTTCAGAGGAGTACCAAGGTCAGGCGTGTTCTTTCCTAAAGGAGCCTGAGATTCTCAAAACTTGGTACACGCGTCATCAAATACAAAATCTCTCAGAAACTCACCTGGGTGGCCGGCCCACCAAGCTCGAGGACCCTCGACATACTTAGAGAGATGCAATAAGCTCAATTCGTAGCTCAATTGCCCGCGTGTGCAGGATGGCGCTCGTCAACGGCGTGTCTCGACCTCTGCTGCTCACCTCGACCGCACCAGCGCCAAACGCCCGCCTGCACAGCACTTTGGCCGCGGGCGATCAGGTCCGGGCGCTTGCTGCTGTCACGATTGGAGGTTCCGACGGAGCCCTGCGCTCCCCTACCCGGCCTTAACGTCCTCTTCTCGGACCTGAGAAGCGTTCCCGTAGCTGTCTCGCCGTTGCCGAACGCTGGAGGGGTTCGGGGCCCGGGTCAGCCGTCGTATGCGGCACAGCAAGATCAAATGTCGACTTCTTCTTTGACTATGGGTACGCATTCTGCCTACGGCAATCGGAGGCCTTCACCAAACGGGGCTTTGGGTCCACGTGCATAGGAGGCAGCTGCAAGGGGAAGGTCCCCATCTACTCCCGCGGTCTGGACCCTTTTGTCTGGGATCGAAAGAGGAACCGAGGCGACGCGATCATCTGCCCCGGCGGGGGAGGTCACCTGTTGTGCCTCCGCTGCTTGGACGCCATGTACGCGGGAGGCTGCCCTTTCGTTTCGACCTCCACGCGGGGGCCGTCATTGACCGGGGGGACCTCTTCAGGAAGTACGAGGCCTTCCCTGCCGCGGAAGAGCTAAGACTCGCACATCTGGGGCAGCCTGCAGCGGAGGGGGGGCACCCGTTCTTCGTCCAGAGGCGGGACCTGGTCGCATGCCCGTACTGCAAAGAGAGTCGAACGACAAACCGGGACCGCCCCAAAAAGAAGGCGCTCGAATCGGGCCCGACTCCAAAGGAACTCGGCTCAGCCTTGATCTTTGGGGAGTTAAAAAGAAGCGCGGTTCCTCCAACGATCATCGCACCCGGCCTTTTCCTCGTGCCGCAACTGGACGTCAACTACCGGCTTGAATCGACATCTCGTTGAGGGACGGAAGGCCCGTCAACGTCCCCAGGCTTGTCCAGGTGGACCACTTGGTGACTACGCCTGCATGTGCGGCCAGAGGGCGTGCAGAGAGCACGACATCCGTTTTCTCAGACAAATCGCTTTTCTCGACGGATGGTGGCAGTCGGTTTCGAAGGAGGTCGAGCCCCTCTTCGGCTCGTTCAACGGCGGAAAGAGGTTCGCACGGGAGGTGACGGGTACCGGACTCGGACGAGTGCTCCCACTCGATCGGGAGGTCAGCTTGGAGTGCCTCTGACTGGCCTCAATGCGGAGGCCTGGCTGGGGCCGCAGCTGCGCGTCTTTGTGACCTCAGAGGGAGCCGATGACTCTCCGGCGGTCTGCGTGCTCGCTGGAATGAGCGCCTTCTGCAGCAGATGCTCAGAACGGGAGCGGTGTCCGCACGTAAAAAGGGTGCTTACAGCAACGGGGGGAGGAGATGGGGTTCAGAGCGGGCCTGCTCACAAGGCTACCAAGAGGGGAGCAACAAACTCGGACAAGCGTGCGGAGAGGTCAGCGCTTCGAGCGTCTGGACAATGGAAGCTCTGGGTCTGCAACGACCCCATGTGTCGAAGGCCCGACTTAAAGGTTGCGTGCGTGCATGGAGGCACGCTCGAGGAGTGGGAGTGCCTCCCTGCAGCAGCCTTGGACATGGGGCACAGCCACAAGAAGATCGACACAGTCATGAGCAGGGGTGGGCAGCAGGTCACGAGCCTCTGCGAACGATGGGGTGATGAGGGGATCCGGAAGCGGGATGGGGCAAAGTACTTCTGTGCGCCGAGGCCCGTTGAACCGCTCTGACCAGGTTGCGGGCGGCCATGGCAACTGGAGAGCAGGAGTGGATCGCTCTATACGGCTGGGGCGCGCTATCCGGTGATGACGTACCGGCGGGTGTGTACGATCGCACCAGGACGAGAGGCGGCGTGCTGCTCGGTGGCTTACGACGGTCAGGTAAGATCTAGTTCTCACCACCTGGACCGATTACCGATTGCTCAGTGTTTATTGCACTTTGTGCACGCCGTTGCTTTTTCCCTTTAGCCTTAGCACCTTGGAATGCTTTGAAGCACTCTGGCCCGCCGTATGTCCGAATGGCAAGCTTATGCACGTCGGATTTCAGATAATACCGGGTCTTTAGCCTCTTTTCTGGATGCGGCACCCATTGCAAGTTGGACAAGTTTTGTACGTGATACAACTTGCGCGCATCAAGAGTGGTCAAGCAGCCAAGTAGCGACTCGTACCCTGTATGAATGCAATAATCGCAGACTACAAGCTCCTCGTGGGGAGGCAACGGCCACACCAAATCAGTAAGACGACCGCACTTGGAGCAAGCTTGCCACGGCCGGATCTCCATCAGCGGTTTGGGACCAAGTGTTCGATTGAAAGGCACCGAGAATTCGTGCATCACACCTCCAATATACGCTTAGGCGTCTTTGCACGGTTGATGCGGAAGCTGCCAAGTCTCGAAGAGAAAGGGCACCCTTTTGACCGACGACGCTCAATACGGCTCGGCGAACTTCTCATTTGCAGCCATGGTTGTCCCTTTAAGACGCCGATCAAAACAACTGGTTGGTTTCAAACGTAGGATTTGAATGATTGAATGTATCTCTCTATTTCCTTGCAGGAGGACGCCATCTTCAACTTCTCCGGGACGACGCTCATCTCGCACGGCCTCCTGCTGCGCAACCACTTTGCGGCAGCCTTGGGTGCTTCCCATTCGCTCAACTTTGACGCCAACAACATGGCGACCAGAAGCCTCGAAGGCCCGAGCGCATCCAGGCTGGACGACCGCGTCTTTGACGCAGCGATGCAGGCCTTCAACGATCTCGCAGCCCGGCCTCGGATCCAGCACGTCTGCAAACGTCCTGATTGCGCTTATCTATACACGTCTGAAGTTCGAGCTGCTGAGGCAGAGGCAGAGAGAGCCGGATGCCCACTCCAACCGGAGCGGACCGAGGGGCCGCCCCTGAATCTTTCAACCTACGCCTTCAGCCGGGATAAGGTCATCACGTTCGACGGCACATTTTCCCCCAACTCCAGAGCTATGCGGGACAGCAACGAGGCCTCTCTGTATAGCATATGTGAGCCGGACCCGGGCGCACCTCGCGTGGCAGGGGGTTTCACCCCTCTGGGCGTCGGTGGGATGCGGCCCTCGGACGTTCCTCTCGAGGGGATCGACTGCCCTTCGAAGTTTAGGAACGGGCTGTCGGAGCTGAGGCCGGCCGTACGAGCAGCGGCCTTCCGATGGTGTAACTTTTGGAAGGGCCAGGGTCAGGGGGCCAACTCGCCTCTTTCGGCGGAGGAGTTCGTTGCCATGCGTCAGGGGTTGCCGGCAAACGTGAGGGCCCTGATCGACCTTGCGACAGAGTCCGGGAGCTGCGCCGACCCTACGACATGTGCGGTCTGCAAGGCTGTGCCCCGGAGGCCCTGGATGGATGGAGTTTTGAAAGGGGGCCCGGTAGCGCCCACAGGTTGGTGCCCGACCCATTTCCAGCCATACGCGGCCCTCGTGCACGCTCTCCTGATACCCCGCTACAGCTGGGTATTCGGGCACATCGTGACGCTGAAGCTGCTTCGACATCTGTTGCTCGAGGGGCCAGTTGACGAGAGGGGGCTCGCTTATCTCACCAACGATGGGCCAATGCTAGCCGCCATCCTTCGGCTGCACCCAACGGTCGGAGTGCAAACGGGTCCTAGGCAATACGCCTTTCCAGCGGCACTACGTCCGCTCGTCCGGGACATCTACGCAACCAACCTCCTCTGTTTCGAACCGAGTGCCAACCGTCCCAGTGCCTCCAGTGGTCGCTCCCCTCTTGCTGCGCTCCTCGATGCTACGGAGCATCTGTGGTTCTTGGAGCGTGAGAGGCTCAGGTCAGTGGGCAACTCAAGAGACCCTGGCATGGTCTATACGGAACAACTTGGCGCAACGCTCAAGGGGGGCGCCAACACCCTCTTGTTTGAGCTTGGGATGCGGGAGCCCCAGTGCTACGGTCTTGACGGCTTTCTACGAGAGGCCTCGGCTGTCTGTAGAGAGCGTGCATGGGGGCCGTATCAATCTACGCTTTCCACCCGCTACTCTATGGGCGGCCGCAATTCACGGATTGGGAGGACGCGTCGGGGCGGGGAAAGAAGGGCTCCGAGGAGCGGCTCGCGCAGCACTGTGGGGCCCCAAATCCTCGGTCGTCCAAGAGCCGAGCAGGGATGTTCATTGCATGCTGCCAGGATCGGGCGCCCCTCGGCTATCACTGGCTTAAGGGCGGCGAGAGCGTATCAGATTTGGGAACGGTCCTGATCACACGCTTCCCCTTCAAGACCCTGCGCGGCCTGACGGTAGTGGAGGACGCCGCCTGCAACGCCCAGGAATGGCTTATCAACCGGTGAGTGATACAAGTTGCGCAATCCGTGTGTTTGACCCACAGTTTGTGCATCTGCATTAACTCGAGATGCATTAACGTGAGTCTTCAAGCTTCTGTTGAGCTTTGGTGGCCAAAACGCCCTTTGCTTTACCACGTTTTCCGTTCATGGCCTTTACTAACAATCTTTACAACTCTCTTTTGTGCAGGGTGCCACCGCTGGCAAAATACATGCTCTTCCTCTTCGATCGATTCCATTCTGGCCCGATCAGCTGCGCGCCCGCTGGAGCGGCCAAGCGTTATGCGACGCACACCTGCTCGCCGACTCTGTTCATCGACTCCTACTCGCAGCACGATCATACCGTGACAACAGCCAGCGGAGGGATCAATTCGGGCTTAAAGCGATCGGCGGCTAGTCTCCAGCATATCACGAGCATTAGACGCTTGATGAGTAGGGTCACAACGATTCTTGATACGCTGTTTGAGAGATCGAAGTATGCACTATATTAACTGAAGCGGCGCTGAACAG